GAGCCGCCTACAGGGCATTGCAGAGGTGGTACCGGGAGGGAGCGGGGATGCTCGTTAGGGGACCGGAGCCTCTCTGGGCTCAGCCCAAAATGCTCCCCATCTGCTGCAGCGTGTAAAGCAGCTTACAGGGGAGGCTGGAAGAGACCTGCCTCCACCCCAAAGCCCAGCCAGAGGGTTTCTTGCAGCGCTGCCTTAGAGGTGTGACCGGTGCCAGTGTCAGCTCTGAGGATCCTTTATCTGTGGGGCTGGGGTAGATGGCAGAAAACTGCCCTGTAGAGAGGTGGCAGGGCCCTGGGACACGAGGTTTCCATGTGCTCGGATGCGTGTGTCATCGGGAATTGTTCTTGTTCTGGGTTTTCTCTCTCTCTCTCCCACCACCCTTTCTCAGTGGTGTCCTACAGGTTTTCGCGGTCTCTCTCCTATTCACACGTGGTGTCTTATTTTGCCCTGGGCTGTAGCTAAAACTCAGGATGGTGTGGCCTTAGAGATCCAGCCCCTGAAGAGCCAGGAAGGGGTGGAAAATGAGGAGAAGGAGAAGAAGAAGGTGAAGGTGCCCAAGAAGGAGAAGTCTGTGCTGCAAGGGAAGCTCACACGCCTGGCAGTCCAGATGTGAGTGGTGGTGGCACAGGGAGAAGGGGCTGTCCCCTTCCCCTGCGTCCCCTCACCTGCTGCTCTGCCTCGTCTTTCCCCAGGGCTGATCATGTCAGCCATCACGGTCATCATCTTGGTGCTGTACTTCGTGATCGACACGTTTGGGGTGCAGAGGCGGCCCTGGCTGGCGGAGTGCACCCCCATTTACATCCAGTACTTTGTCAAGTTCTTCATCATCGGTGTCACCGTGTTGGTGGTGGCTGTGCCTGAAGGGCTGCCGCTGGCGGTCACCATCTCCCTGGCCTACTCCGTGAAGGTGAGACTACGATGCAGTGGGGTCACTGGGGGCATGATGAAGAAATTCAGGCTTTTGGCTCTGACCTTCCTGGTCGTGGTGCCTGTTGCAGAAAATGATGAAGGACAACAACCTCGTGAGACACTTGGATGCCTGTGAGACCATGGGCAATGCCACCGCTATCTGCTCGGACAAGACGGGCACGCTCACCATGAACCGCATGACCGTGGTGCAGGCCTATGTGGGGGACACTCACTACCGCCAGATCCCTGACCCCGAAGCCATCCTGCCCAAGATCCTGGACCTCATAGTCAATGGTGTTGCCATCAACTCAGCCTACACATCCAAGATCCTGGTGAGTTGGAGAACCACAACCTCGTCTCCTCTGGCCTTCCCACCGCTGGCCATCCCTGCAGCTCCCATCTGCCATACCCAAGTTTGGCATTGCTTTTCCTCTCCTTTTTCCTCTCCAGCCACCCGAGAAAGAAGGGGGGCTACCCCGACAAGTGGGGAACAAGACTGAGTGTGCCCTGCTGGGTTTTGTGCTGGACCTGAAGCAGGATTACCAGGCTGTGCGGAATGAGGTGCCAGAAGAGAAGCTCTACAAGGTCTACACCTTCAACTCGGTGCGCAAGTCCATGAGCACGGTGCTGAAGAACGGCAACGGCAGCTTCCGCATGTACAGCAAGGGAGCCTCCGAGATCATCCTCCGCAAGTAATTGTCCTCCCTCGCTACGCTGGTCCTCTCCCCATCCCATGGGCTTTAGGCTCTTGATACACCATGGAGCTGTTTTGGGGGCCTGAGGGGTGAAGGGTGCCTAGCCCGGGAGGTGATACCGTGCAAAGTGTTTAACTCTTTTAGGGTGGCTTTGGTAAAGCTGTAGGGAGCTGTGGGTAAGGGGGATGCCCCGTTTTGCAGATGGGGAACCTGGGTGACAGGAAGAGCAGATCGCTGAGCTGGCACCGCATGCCACCACCGGTCTACCTCACCCTCCATCCTGGTCCTCCGTTAGGTGCACCAAGATCCTGGACAAGAATGGTGACCCCCGGGTGTTCAAGGTGAAGGACCGGGATGAGATGGTGAAGAAGGTGATAGAGCCCATGGCCTGCCATGGGCTGAGGACTATCTGCCTAGCTTTCCGTGACTTCCCCGCTGATGCTGAGCCGGACTGGGACAGCGAGAACGAGATCCTGTCTGACCTGACCTGCATCGCTGTGGTTGGGATAGAGGACCCTGTGCGGCCAGAGGTACCGAATCCCAGCTCTGCCCTGGCTGTCTTTCACCCTAGCCCCGTTCCTGGGCCAGGAGCTCCTTTCCCTGCTGCTCAAGTCCATGAGCCCCTTATTGAAAGCACAAGCAGCTCCTCTGCATCCATCCCTGAAATGCTCCACGCTCCCGCCCCAGCTCCCTGATGCAGGCATTTCTCTCCCATACCTGGACGAAATGACCTGGAGGCAGGGTGTTTCTACCCAAACTTTCGCCCCAACTGCTACCAAGGATCTGTGCACAAGCCAGGCTGGTTCCACGTGCAGTTGAAAGGTGCATGGAGACACCACGTAAGGGTGACAGAGGGGTCTGGGAGAGGAACAGGGCTGATCTAGCTGGTTCCTGCCTCGCAGCTTGCTGCCCCCCTCTGCCTTCGCGGCGGGGGTGACGGGCAGGCAGCCGGGCTAATGCAATAAGCCCTCCGATACCTGCCTCTTGATTACATTTTGGAGCTTGCCCCTGTGCTCCTGCCTTGCTTGCATCTTTCCTGATTAGATGTTCAGGTATCTGGGTCTGGGAATTGCATTACAGATGCCCTGTCTGCACCGGCTCTGGAGGCCCTTGATTCAATTTGCTAATTTCTCACTAATATCCTCTTCCCCCACCGCTCTGTAATAGATAAACCCATTAGTGCAGCAACGTGCTGCCAGAGCGGTGGGGTGGGGGGGCAGATGAAACGCCCCTGTTTTGATGGATTGCCTGGCTGTGCCTTTGCTCCCAGCGCCGCGGCGTGATGGGGAGGAGGCAGTGAGGTTGCCTTCCCCTTGGGGCAGGGACTGGAAGATCTCGTGCTGTCTGTGCTGGAGGAGCTGCTCCAGACACGCACGTGAGTCTGGAGCCATGGTAAGGGCAGGAGACTGCGGTGCAGGAGCAGGGGCAGGTATCTGGTCTGGTCCTTGATGGCTTCTCCCTGCACCCCATGGATAAACGGCTGGTCTGGTTCTAGGGGGGGTGGTTTTCGTTTCAGCATCTCACTCCAGCGTGAGCACCAAGCTGAGCCGCACATGGATGCAGGTGGGCTGCTGGTTCCTGACCCTGCTATGGCCCTTTCTAGATCCTTGCAGGGAGGATGGGAGAGGAGCCACCAGGCTCCCGGGATACCCAGCACTGAACCAGAGTGCTCTGCCCTGCCTGTCTGACAGCCCCCCCCTCGACTCTGTCCTTGTCCCCCAGGTGCCCGATGCCATCCTGAAGTGCCAGCGTGCAGGGATCACAGTCAGGATGGTGACAGGGGACAACATCAATACCGCCCGCGCCATTGCCACCAAGTGTGGCATCCTTCTGCCAGGGGAGGACTTCTTGTGCCTGGAGGGGAAGGAGTTCAACCGGCTCATCCGCAACGAGAAGGGAGAGGTGGGAAAGCAGCCCCGGGTCCTGCTCTGCGGTGGGTGTGGGTGGCCTCTCCGACAGCCCCGCAGCATAAGGTGCTGAATCCCACTGGGTTTTTCTCCTCTCCTTGGATAAACACAGCTGGTCCCTCCACTTGCCAGGATCCTCAGCATGTGCTGCTGCAGCGGTGTCCGGGTTCTTGGAGATGAAGGGGCTCTCCTGTCCCAGTTGGGGTTTGCTCTCCAGTGGGGCAGAAGGTTTCTGGGGTGTCCCTTCCCTTTCTCACATGTGCCTTGTCCTGCAGGTAGAACAGGAGCAGCTGGATAAGATCTGGCCCAAGCTGCGTGTGCTGGCCCGCTCCTCCCCGACAGATAAGCACACACTTGTGAAAGGTGAGTGCCTGCCAACTCCCCCAGCTGCTGCCTCTCACCAAAGTATCTCATCCTGCTCTGCCTGGGTGCTTTTGCAGTGTAATCCATGCTGGGAGCCTGCCCTTGGGGCTTATTTTCTCTGAACTGCTTGTGTCTGTTTCAGGAATTATCGACAGCACCGTTGGTGACCAGAGGCAGGTGGTGGCCGTGACAGGGGACGGGACCAACGATGGCCCAGCCTTGAAGAAAGCCGATGTTGGGTTTGCCATGGTATGGATGGGCGGTGGGTTTTCCCCGGGGGCGGCCTTCGCCCTCTGGGCTGAGAAACTAACGGCACGCTTGGTTATTCTCAACACTTAAATTATTTCTGGACTGGTGAAACTCTTTTTCAAATCTACAGGCTGGCTTAAAAAGAAATAAGAAACTTTATCCGGAGATTTGATTTAATTCTCATTAACTTTATAGGACTGTTAGCAAAAGATTGATGGGAAGCAATCCCCTGAGATCCTGGCATAGGGCTGGGCTCCTCTGTCCCACCTGGAGGGACCATCTCCAGCTGAAGGTGACAGCGCTTGCAGAGCACCCAGAGCAGGGACATCCCTGGCCCCAGGTTCTGAGCTGTGGGGTCCAGGAGAGCCATGGGAGCCCAGTAACTCGGCGTGAGTGGGTTTATCCCTGCAGTTTTTCACCCAGGTTTGTAACAGGCAGCCCAGGCTCTGAGCACGGCGCTGGCACGGACTTGGGAAGTTTATTTACGGTGAAGAACTCTGATCTCCTGGTTTGCTGCTTTGCTTTATCCCGTCTAAAAGAAGCAAGAAAATAAACCTGTTGGTTTTAAGAGGTTTCCTGTGAAATTGTTTAAGTTTAGGGATGTGAGCAGGAGCCAGCTGCTGGGTGGAGTCTTACGAGCCCATGAGGGAGCTTTGAGCAAATGAGAAATTTCAGGGGAGCAGGTGTTTTTCAGAAGGTGTTAAAAATCCAAGTGCAATTCTGGAGCCTTTAGGAGGAACAGCAGAAGGTAGTCTGTCTTCTCTTGGGGAACGTACAGCGTACAACATCCCCCGTGTGCAGGATTGGACCCTGGCCAGGCCCTGGGCTTTGCTGGGAGCTGGGTACGGGGGCTGCGCTGCCCTTGGGTCTCCAGAGAGCAGGGCACAAACAGCACAGGGGGTAGCTCTGTCCACTTGCCTCCGAAGCTCATGCCTTGCAACAGCCTGGGCA